TTTCATGATATAGGTGAAAAAATGGAATAGAAAGGAAATAGAAATATTCCTCATGTGTGTGTTTGATTTCTGACATTTGAGTGATATAAGTCATGGAAATAGAAAATTTTCCATTATTAGCAATATTAGTTTCAAAACTACTTTTGGAAAAATTATACTAAGCTGCTTAAAATTCTACCAAATAACATAACTGAAGTATATCCTTTGAAATTTTAGCCATTAGTTTTATATATACAAATACTGAATATAACTGATGCCACAATTCTAATACATTTATTTCCAGTATAAATCTAGAAGGGTTAAAGTGTGCTTCTGTGTCAGATTTTATTTTTGTCAACCACACACATGCACAAAAAGGAAAGAGAATCAGAAATAAAGACCTCCTATTTCAAGGGAGTTCCTGGCTGCCATTCTGAAATTCTTGATTGGGCAAGTAGAGAATGTGACCCCAAAATAAAGCAGGATCTGAGGGAAAAGGAGGTGGCAATGCCTATTCACATTTCTGGGCCACTGCCCACTTATGGGCCCCATGCCAGAGATGACTTTGGCATTCTGCGCAGGAGATGCTGCCCATCCAAGCCTCTATTGGAGAAAGCAGGGGAAAAGCTCTGTACCAATTGGTTCCTTGAAACTTTAAGTATATATAAAAAAAAAAAAAAAGAGCTTTGCTACTTAGTTTGTGAACCAAGAGAGATAGCTGGACACTGGAAGGAGTTTCTGTATCTTTCTTGGTAAACATTAGAGCAGAGTAGTGCTGAATTATAATGAAAGAATAGATTTAAACAAATATGCACACATACACACAAGACAATGTTGGGATGCAAAAGTAGAAAATATTTGGAAAGAAGAAAGTTATTTTACAACTTAGCAAATTCTTAGCATATTTTTACATCATAAGTTTCTGACACAGTAAATGGAAATTTTTAGTCTTCTCCCTGAGTTAGATTGGTTAATTATCACAAGATTTTATTCTCAATGGCATGTGAATCTAAAATTTTATATTGTCTGAGTAGGGAGTTCTGTGGCAGGTAAAGTTCTCAACTTCTGAAGAACTTCCAGACGTGTCAAAAGTAGCCAAGGAAATTCATAATATTCCACCTGCATTTTTCAAGTCACTTCACGTAATGCTTTATTTTTAAAAAAGTAATGAAAGTTCATGTAACTATGAACACTGCACAAAGTCATGAAAGACACTAATGACATATTCCATAATTATAATAAGGTTGTTTTTAGTCTACCTATGCATTCATGGCTTTCTTTTCTAATAAATATGTACCTCTGAAAATGCCTAGTAACTGTGCAGTAGAAAGTAACTGGTCATTCTAAAGTCAGTTTCAAATGTGCTTCTTCACACAGCTGTACGCACATGTGTATGAACACAATTCTTCTTTGCATCTGCTCCAAGTTAGCAATATTTCATAAAGTACATGGCAAGAATGGCACCTTCAAGTGTTAATCTGAACATAAATCTATACTTTCTGTAGGTTGTGGCACATATACTTTGTTCCACAGAAGAATCTGATGTACAAAAAAAAAAGGGCAATGTTGAATTTTCTTACTGCAAAACAAAGCTGTCTTTTCAAACTAAAGTAACTTAAGGTCTTCCATATTATAACTAAGTGATTTTCACTGGGGATTATCTGAGTAATTTTTGCAACATTTAGATAAAGTACTCTTTGATTCAACCAAATGTTGAAGAACAAAAAAACAAAATAAAACAACAGAAACATTTTCTCAAGCTGCTGAGTTGTAAATAAGAAGATAGATTGTTATTATCCTGTGCCACTACATCCAACACTGCAAATGCAGTGATGAGTTTTGTTACTATCTGAAATCTTCAGTTTCTGAACATTAAGGACAGCAATGATAAAAAGAAAATTACCTTCTTGAGATTAAGAGCTTAAACTTTAGATTATACACATGGAACAAATCTGTTTCCAGAGATCACACCCCATTTTCATAAGAATCACCCTAAAATCTGAAGTTGGAATAACCATACATCTCAAAGATTTTCATTTATGATACACGGAGGAAAACACTTTTTCATAAAATGGAAGTTTTATATTGAATCTCTGTGATATGAAATTCTAAATTTTTGTCTCAAACCGATTTCCTGACTTTTAAAAGAATGTATATTTATCCACACTTGTAATCTGCCAAATATTAAGCTAAATGCACATTTAATATAATTAAAAGCAAAGATACAGAATCCTGACAGGTAAATTTCTCTGGTGTGTTTGTCTCAGTCCCTCATGTGTTAAAAGATCAAACACTGTGTGTGCTCTGATAATAACCTGATGAATGAGGTTCCCATCTCCACCATACCAACAGCCACCTCATCCTCTACAAAGGTCAACTGCAACTTGACATAAATATAAATATTCCTTTAGGTCTAATTAAAATAGAGATAGTCTACTTATGTAATTGGAAAGAAATGTTTCCAGAAACTTAAAGTTACTTAATAAAGAAATCTAATGAAGTTTCTGTCCTAGACTATCTTTGGCTTCCATTAATTTTAATGAAGCTAAGATTTATCTGCACAACTACCAAAAAAACATGCCCAATTGTTACAAAAATGTACACGAAACACTTCAGAAGCAAACAAAACTGGGTGAACTTCTGTGTCAATCAATGGTACATGAGTTATAACTTACTCTGGAAACATGGCTACTTATAAAACCACTTCTACTCAAAATAGCTCAAAGATACAAAAAGTTTCTAAAGATCTATCAAGAGCAAAGGAAAACATATACACCCACCTATTTTGTGTGTGTGTGTGTGTGTGCGTGCGTGCAGTGCTTTGTAATTATTAATTTGCAAAGAAATTATTGTATTTAAAATCAAATACTATATTTCTAAGAAGCAACAATTACCAGGAATCTGAGGTCCTTTAAATGTGATCATTTCACCTTATCAAAGCAATGAATGTTCTTCATCCTTTGTTTTTTGTTCTGCATCTGCATTAACATGGCTGCTAATTATATTAGCCTGGTGGCACATAAAGTCTGAATGGGAAAAATCACATGATTGTTATAGAACTTCCTAAAGATTCAAATGTATACTCACTTAGACTGGACACTCCTATATTACAAGTACCTCTATTTTGTTAAGAGAACTTAGCTTTGATTCAGAATTTCTGTTCCATAAGCGATGTAGCACTTCTCCAATACACCGTCGCATATATGCACACACATGAACAAAGACACATACACACAGAAATCTTTAGCCTTACCATGCCACTTTGTATATTTAGCTTTCTCATTTGTATATTTACATTTTCCCAAAATTGTTAAGTTCTTGAGAAGTTTGTGTTCATCACACAAAATGCCACATAGATCTAATGCCTATGACTGCCAAAATAAAGCCCTACTATGCTAAATGATTAAAAGTTAAATCACATTTTAAAAATTTTAAATTGAAAATAGCATAAGATTGCGCTTACCCACCCACTCATTCCCACAGTTTTATGATTTTACACAGTGAATCAGCAAATGTATTCTTTTCTGAATCATATATGAACATAGGAATGTTTTGAAAATGTTTACGCAATTTGGCATACTTGGCCTAACTAGTGGTTTAACAAAGTAAACTCTCCCATTATTCTGATTAGCTTTATCATTAAGAGTAAAAATCCTTTATTGCAAAAATTAAATGAATATGTAGCAAAAAGAAATAAACTGGTTTACACATCATTGAAAAAAATATTATATTCTTAAAATTATATTTATAGTTCCACCTTCTTTTTCTTACAACCAAGTGCCTAAGTAATTCACAGATCAAAATACGCATCATGAGATAACTTTCCTGGGGAAGAAAAACACCCCAAGACAATATGCAACAAAAAGCACTGCTTCAGTTATATAGTAAACAAAACAACAAAAACAACAGCAAACACTCCTGGGCTTCAAGATGACTGATAAACAATGAAGACCACTTAAGGAATTCTTCCATCAGTTTCAACAGCAAATCCTTGCTCTTTTGAACACTTTACCGGTTGGTCTCTCAGAAATCTCCTTCAGTCTAGTAGTCCTTTCAGCCTTTATGAAACGATTGTTAGAAATGTGGACGGCTTTTCAGATTAATTTATACTTTCCAAGGAAAGCTATTTGATAGCAGGAGTGAGCAACTACTCCTACCTCAAATTAACCACTTACAGTAGTATATTTTTCACCTATAAACTATCCTCAACCCCTCCTATTGCCCTTAGAGAATTTAAATTCAGAGATTATGACGTTTTCCATTACTGGCTTCTTGCCTCTTTGCAAATATACAACATTCCTCAAAAAGTATATAGAATTTCTGAGGAATGTTGTACATGTCTATTCCAGGAGCAATTACACACATAATGTAAGACAGAATATTTTTCGTTAGAATTGTTTATAATAATTGTGATTTAAAGGCTACTCTTATGGCAGTGGTGTTACTGAGTTTATCTAAGTATTTCTCTTCAATCTACATACTTTTAAAACTCAACGTGTCTTCTAGATCAGACCGCTGTAAGGATACCATCTGCCCTACATAGTGGTCTGTTATAAAGCATTATACTTAATATTTCTTGAAAAATAACAAACGTCAGTGAAGAAACAAAGATACTGCAAAAAAAATAGTATTGGAGGAAAAGTCAAAAATTCCATATCTCTCTGTTTTAACACCTGTATAGTAAATTATATGACAACCACGTTGCTACAATAATAGGAATGCAAAGCATAAAGGAACACGAGATACACCTTGCTTTGCTTAAAGAAATTAAAGACAAGTTTAACCCGCACCTGCCAAACTGTCTTCAGAGAAATAAAAATAGGTGGGGTGGAAAGACTCACCTCTCCTGTACCCCACAGTGCCTCTCCCTGAAATCATTTTAAATATAGACAGTATATCTGTCAGCTTTTTCTCTTTTATTTTTTCCTTGCATTCTAATCAATGGCAGACCCTTTACTGCACTCCCCAGCCCAGTGTGTCAAAGGCACATTACAGAATAAGAGGACCCAAGTGTCACTTACCAGTTGCATGCCACAGATAAAGATAAGCGTGCACCTGCCACTGCAATAACCCATGGTTTCCGAGACCCCTGCCACAGCCAGACTGTCCCACGTCGGCCACCGTCGAGCCCCCACTTTATCCAATCAGATCGCGGGGAAGGACAGGCAAACCTGCCGAGGGCTCGGGGGCTCCGGGTTGCTGCTGCCAGCGTCCTGGGAAGTGACAGGCATTAGGACCTGCTGGCGCGGCGGCGGC